CCCTGAAGCTGTAAGGTTTGTCACTTCAGCTGACTGTGAAGGTTTTAGGATTATCCACAGATTAAAATAAAGATTAGATACGTGAGTGGATTGAAAACAGGAAGTGTAGAGTTTAACCACTGATCTGATTTAAAAGGTAATAATAATAATAATAATGTTTACTGACGGCTCAGTGTTTGCTCATCATAAGAAGTCTCCACGCTTCGCTCTGAGTGTTTCCTGAGACTRAAATATCTCCTGGTATTTATTCAGGGAAAAATCTGATCGTTTTATTTTCACAAACTGCAGGAAAGCTTGAAAAAAAGGTTAATTTTTCATGTTTTACAGGTTAAAAAGAGGTAAAAAACCAACAGGTCGTGTTTTTATTCAGATTCAAACCTTCAACGATCATCAGTTTTATAATGAAACTCCAGGAAGCAGCTTCCTTCAGAACACCACAGACACTGAGGCTGCTCAGAAAATAACTTTTCAAAATAAAAGTCTTGAGCCAAAAACCCAGATAAATTAATTTAAATTTATTTATCAGGTTTGGCTCCAAACGGTGAGGAGCTAATTAGTGCTAATGAGTTTGATTGGTGCAGCTGCCAGGCTGGGCGGGCTGTTTGCTCCATCTGGGCAGCAGTGAGGACGGTTCRGTCAGCAGGACCGAGACCACCGGCGGGTCGATGAACAGAACCACCCAGGCTCGGCTCGGCTCTGCTCGGCCCGGCTCCAGTTGGGTTTGGTTCTGTTCGGTTGGAAGTGTTCTGAATAAAAAAGGTGCGGCGGGTCGGAGCACGTTTGTTTCTCTGAAAGCACCGCTGGGCCCGTGTTCCCCGGCAGCTCGGGTCCGGATCGATGCGGATCGATGGGGCAGCTGCTGAACCAGCAGAGCTCGATCACAACACAACAAGCTGCTGGTTGAAGTTAAACGCAGCGTCGCACACAAACCTGATTACTGTCGACTCCCTGCAGCCTGATGTTGTTACCGTCACACAAAAGACTGACAGAGCAGGAGGCWGTCGTCTGATTAACCCTTAACCTGCTTAGAAACCAGTCAAACACTGACTAATGTCAACAACTGCAGTTTACACTGATTAAATTTAATGTTCTGTGAGGATGACTCTCAGCAATAACCACCTATATCTGCTCAGTTGTTTGGTCTACAGCAGGGGTCTGCAGCCTTTTTAACCTCCGGGCCCAATTTGTTCAACATAAAGTGACACGAGGCCCAGCCACACATTACCGTACGGATCAACATGATAATTATTATAAATTATTCTTTAATTTATATTGTATTTGCATTATAACTACATAAAATACACTTACAGTTTAAAAGTAAAACTC